ATGTATCAGATATTTGTGTGGATCTACTTCAGCGCAACCCAAGCTTGACTGTTACTACAGACAACAAAATGCAAGGACCTTCTCCTATTCTTACATTATCACGCCAACCTTCAGCATTCTTTAGTGGATGTCAGCTTTGGTTTTGGCAAAGATGGATTTATCATTGTGAGTATCTATAGAATCTGAAGTTAGTGTTTTGCAATCAGGTCTTACATAGTTACATGAATTGCGAACACCTTAGCTCTATGATTAGTGGAGTTTGTTATTGACCCATAAAAACCTACTAATTGTAGAGTTGATGTTTTGCAGTTCATGCAGGATATACTCCAAAACACTTTTTCAATATATTTTTGATAAATTTTAAAATATTATTGTTGTTTGTGGTTTAACTATTTATATTAATTTAATCGACCAGTTAGTGGTATTATGTATCAGGGTTAAAGCTAAAGCTACCCATCACTTCCTCCAGTGAAGTACGGATTGCCGTTACTCACCAGCACCAAAGCCACAACCCAAAGAACCTCAAAATACAAGGTATTTGTATGCATCCAAGTTAATTGCACAGCATAATCAATTCAAAATTGAGTTACCTTCTCAAATATCATTTACTAGCTTGTTTGAGAAAACAAGATTGAACTTACTTAGGATATATCTGTGCATTTCAGATTTATGTATACATGTATTAATTTAACTTTAGTTCATGTAATTAACATACTTATAATATTATAATTTTAAATCAGCATGTATAAAATTAACTTTTGACTTTGCAGTATTTGGTGGACTTTGTAGATTGGGCTTAATGGTGCTAAATTTCCTTGGTAACTCACCCTCAAATCAAACTTACTTTTAGCTCTTTTTTTATTTTTTTGGGCATTTCTATTTCTATTATTGTATTCTTATGTTTTTTTATTTTTATTTTTTGTTAATTGATTCTTGATGCAGGATTCAAAGACATTTATGATTTGAAGTTGAGGCATATCTATACCCTTGACATTCTTCGCTATATGTGTAACTATGTATCAACTTTTAAATTCCAACAGCGTGATAATTGTCAAGTTGTTGAAGCAATCTTTGAAGCTACCAAGCAGGGCATAGTTGAATTCGTCATTGAGCTATTAAGAGTCAGCCAACCAATCACTTTTCACAATGACGATCGCAGACATGTTTTCATGGTTGCAATCCAACAACGTCAAGAAAACATTTTCAACCTCTTTTATGGCGTTTATGAGGCGTGGAAGGCCGTAATACTTAATTACAAAGATAAAAACGAGAACAATATGTTACATGTTGCAGGGGAGATAGCTCCTGATTTTCAACTTGCTCGAATCTCCAGTCCAGCATTGCAAATGCAAAGAGAACTACAATGGTTCAAGGTTATAATCTAGTTTATATATAGTACCTATATAACTTATTTTATTTTAAAAAAGACATTGATTGATATACATTACATAATATATTCATTAAAAAAATATTATTTTTAGTCTAAAATTAAAAATAAACAAATTTAAATATATAACAATACATATAGAATGCAGGAATTGACTGAATCAGTTATATTTATATTATATTTTTAACAACTGGATCAAATAAGTGTAAAAAAATATGTTGAACTGAATATATACTAATCATTTTCTTTTTAAAAATTGATATAATTGTTTTGTGAAATGAATGCAGGAGGTGGAAAGAATTGTTCCAGAATGGTGCAAAGAACATAAAAATTGTAATGATGAAACCCCTTATGAAGTATTTTCCAAGAATCACAAGGAATTAGCAAAAGAGGGGGAGAAATGGATGAAGGACATAGCAAGTTCTTTTATTATTGTTGGTACTCTTACTGTTACAATTATGTTTGCGGTAGCATTTACTGTTCCATGGGCCAACGATCAAGATACTGGATTTCCCATACTTTTACAGAAAAGATCATTTATGATATTGATAATATCTGATGCAATTTCCTTCTTTGCTGCGTCTACATCAGTCTTAATGTTTTTGGGAATCCTAACGTCGCGCTTTGCTCAGGAAGACTTTCATGTGTCCTTACCCAAGAAGTTGATTATCGGCCTCTCCACTCTTTTTATTTCTAGTGCAACAGTGATGGTTAGCTTTTCTGCTGCACTTTTGATTATGCTACAAGATCGATGGTGGGCAATCATTCCCATGGTTTTGATGGCTAGCGTTCCAGTTACGCTTTTTGTATGGTTACAGTTTCCCCTACTTGTTGAAATTTTTGTGTTGACATATGCCTCAGGAATCTTTGACAGAAAAATGAAGCATTGGCTGTAGTGGAGGGCAAGTTCACTGATTCTTTTTTTTTTTTTTTTGTAACATAAGTTAGCAGGTTCCCTCTAGGTTGAAATTAAGTCTTTAGTATGTCCTTCGGTTAGGTTTGTTGGAACTCGTCATTCCTCTGTTTTATTTGGTTGTGTATTCAAAATTCTTGCTTTTTATGTGACCTTGTGATTTAATGTGCCTTCTGTTGTGTAGAACACAGTGTGGTCAATTTTTCCTTTCACAATTCATGAATTGATTTAAGGCATCAACAACTAGCTTCATTTCAGTCTTTTTCTTGCAGTATGGAGAGAACCATGAGAGGCAAAAATCCATACTTTGCCCCTCGTATTGTCAATTTTAGGGTTATTTCTCCTCACTTTACAAAGTAAGAATATTTGCCCCTTACTTTTCAATTTACCTAAATGAGGCAAAATTTAACATCCCATGGTCATGTGTAGCCCGTGGGCATTAGTCTTCGTTACGCATGCCACATCAACACCACTTGATTACCTATTTTACACATTGGCGCTACCAGCTGGGTAGACAAAAACCCCTTATTTGCCCCTCACCTTATTGACTTTGAAAGTTTTTGCCCCTGAACTTACAATGTATAGATTTTTACCCTCTAACTTACTGATTTTAGCAAATGAGGTAAAATTTAACATCTAATAGTCACATGCAGAACGTGGGCATTAGAGCTCTATCAGACAACAACATGCATGTCAATAACACATAAGATCATTTTTACATGTTGGCGATGCCAACATGGATTTGCTCATCCATTTTTACCATAGACCCAATGTGCTCTCAATTTTTTGTAAAAGAAAATAATAATAATAAGATATAGTGAGACCCATTATATTTAAAATATTATATTATTTTAAAATGATTTAATTAACTTTATCACTAAATAATAAATTTTTTTATATTAATTAATTTCAATTAAGTAAATTAATTTCTCTTTTCTCCTTCTAGTCCTCTCATCCTCACCGATGGCCTTTATTCTCCAGCTCCCATACTCCATCAATTTGTTTAATTTGGAGAAAAAAATCAAAGTGGAAAGTTTGGAAGATAATGTGAGTAGAATGGTAGTTTTGTGATTAAGAGGTAGATGAATTGTGGTTTCAATTTTTTTTCTTGAAAGAAAAAATGAGAGTGCAATGGATCCATGTTGAAAATAGAATGGGTCGAAGTTAGCATCGTCAATGTGTAAAAATGATCCATGTGACATTAACGCATTGTTGTGCGATGGAGTTCCAATGCCCATGTGCTACACGTGGTAAATTAGCAAGACAAATGAGCAAGACAGGTAAGGTTTGGGTTGGGTCAACTAGAGTCAGAAGTTACATAAGCTGAGTCATAAATGAGTCATGGGTAAACAATTGCTAATTTAACTCAACCATAGCAAGTTGTGGGTCAAACCACAGATCGACTTTTTTTTTTTTTTTTTTTTTTTTCAATATGATTTTTTTTTTCGCATTCTTTTTGCTAAAATCAAAATTTATAATCTCTCAACTACTAAAATTCACTTGTAAATGATAACTAAATCTTAAAGAGAATTAATTTTTTTAGAATTAACCTTTCCTTTTCTAAAAATAAGGACTTGACAATAATTCTTATTATCAATAATTATTTTCAAATCCTTATTTTAACCAAATGATCCGCAAAATTATGAGAAGAGTCAATAGTTAAGAATTACTTAGAAGGATTTAAACTATATAATCATTTGAAGATCATTATTTACATGGAATTTTAAGTAGGATGCCATTTATGGGGCTGCTTGAATTAATTGTTTAGATAAAGCTAATAATTTATAGTTGAAATCTAACAGTTAATAATCACTGTTATTTGTAATTCAAAATATTTAATGCATTCAATTAAAGTCAACTCTTAATAATTGTTTATAAATCCCAAACCAAACACCCCCTATTTTGTTAACACAACTAATTTTTTTATTGATTTAATTTGGGTGTATATCTTTAAAAAATTAAGTATATATAATTATGAAAAAACACATTTTGCTCAAAAAAAAAAAAAGAAATTGGTTTTTTTAGTTAGCATCATCTGCACTATAGTTGGTGTTGTTGTGATGCTTGCTTAGAGACATTTTAATGTTTCTTGGTGCTCTACTGGAGTTCATAAAATATGTTTTGCTAATTGTTATTCTATCTAAAATTTTTAGAATACCGTTTGTTTTAACTAAATTTGGTTAAACTTTTAATTGGTATTAAATTTAAAATTTGACATTATTAAATACTTGATTAATATTACTAATGAAAATCAAATATTTATATTTTTTATTATTTTTTATTAAATAAGTCACCTCGTGAACTCATAAATTTATCTTTTTTTGACTCGTATCTCATTAAAATCAACTTCACAAGTTGTTAATGAATTATAAGTCAAAAAGTATTGACCCTAACTCATTTATACAAGTTGAGTTAGGATCTAGTTAATGAGTCAAGTTCACTTTTACCACCTCTAGCTACATGTGACCATTGGTCTTTAAATTTTATGCCATTTTCTCAAATCGATAAGTTAGAGGGCAAAACTTTATAAATTGCAAGTTAAGGGACAAAAACTCTCAAATTTGATAAGGTGAGGAGCACAACATAAGTTTTTATTCACTAAACTTTAAATGACATGTAAAATGAGCGCCCAGGTGGCACTATCCTAGCATGGTGACAGAGGACTAATGCGGCAACGGCCACATGTTGCACATAACCATGAGATGTTAAAGATTGCCTCATAAAGTAGGAGGGCAAATATGTTTACTGGAAATGGTGAGGGGCAAAAACCCTCAAAGTCAATAAAGTGAGGGGCAATCATGGGTGTTTCGCCAGCAATTTGTCCACGTCAAGGCAAAGGATCCGTTTAATCGTCCCCCCCACCCGCCACCTGTATCCAATCCTATCCACTCAAACTGTTCTTCACTCAACTCTTGAATTGAAAGACTCTGTTGAGATAGAAACGACTCATGGGCTTTCTGATCCTCAAGTCCCGGATTTCACAGTTATGGTTCCATTAAATTTGAGAAACTTCAATCTCCCACCTAGCCAATTTAAAACAATTTTCCTTTTTTCTTTTTATTTTTCCTTTTTAATGAAAAAAAAAATTCAATTCTAAACGTATACATGAGGTGTTCTTCAAGGAACCCACGTGGGGTAGAGCAGAATTTATTTACATAAGCAGGAAATGGATAAAATCACTCTGCCAATTTTGGTGGTTTGCATCATCCATACAGACAAATCTTACAAAAGCAATTCATTTTAGTTTTCTGCATGTAATTTCAGCTTCTTTTTTTTTCCTTGTGAAATTGGGGTATGTACAATTTTGTTACATAAATACATACCCAATATTTTTTTTTTTTTCTATTTTGTCCTTTATATATTAGAACCAGCTAATATTCATTCCCATGGAGTAAGTAACCTGTCTCTGGGTTTTGCAATTGCCCCTCTTCCATTTTGGCTTTCTTTTGTAAGTTGTTGTTTGAGTTTTATTATTGTTTGAGTTTATGTTTCCGTTGGAGTTGAAGATGAGTTTTCTGTCTTTGAATCGATCTAGTTTGGTTGCCATCTCGGTTTCATGTGTTTGAGGTCTGATCTTGAATTTATATTTATTCCTCTAAAGGTTGGCCTGGAAACAATAGTGTTTACGTTTGAATAATGGGTTGCACTTGGCTTATGATATCCATGTTGTTCCTTCCTTTAATGTTAATGTTACCTGTGTCGAAGAATATTGTAGTTTTCATCTCTAATGATTGTGATGTTCTTCGTAGTGGAAAATATTTTTCATTTGGATTGAATCTCTGATTGGAAGAATAGAGTACGTTTCAGTGCTTGATTAATTTCTTCAAAGATCCTTCCCTGCATCAGTGTGAAGTTGCATTTTTGCTCCATTGATTATAGTTTATGTTATTTTAGGATTGATAGAACTGATGGGAGACTTATAGATCAATGCAGAAAATTCAGAAATCTCTTTACCTGTAAGTATTGATTTAACATCAATATTCAGAACATGCTATTGGCTAAATAATGATATTTCTTTCTCTATATTTTTCATCTATGCTGCATTCCTTATATTCTTTCTTTTGGATGAACTCTAACACATCAGCTTTGAATTGAACAAGTAAATATCCCTACTAGGAAGACATGATATTAAGAGAATGCGTTGCTAACCTATTTATCTTGCAATGGGACGTTTCTAGAATCATTTTTTTGTTTTGGATTTGTGTCATGTTACTAATGAAATGCTATTAAAATTACATAGAGTGTTTTAGTGCTCCTTCTACTGGGGCACCATTTAGTGGCATGCATCTTAATGATGCAGTTTCTGTAACACATATAAGGTTTATTTGATTAATATGATTATTGAAATTCTTTCAGTCTAAGTCATTTAAAATTTAGCTGAAGCCTTGAGCCTTTTTTTTTTTTCTGGTTATTTTACTTATCTAATATGATTCTGCTCATCAGGCCTGTTATGGGGATGTAAGTGACACAAATCTTCTTCTTGAGTTTCTTGGTGTTTTCTCTTCATTGGACAACATTTTTGCCCACGTCGTCACATTGACTGCATGTATAGGTCGAAGATTCATCTGTTTTATTGGTGAGTTTTTCATTTTAGATTACATGTATGAATGTTGTTTGTGAAAACATCTTGTCACATTTCACAATTTCATTCAGTATGTGGTATCATTTTGGATTACATATATGAATACTGTTTGTGAAAACGTCTGAAGTTCTGCTGTCTATGTTTGGGCAATGTATTATTTCTGCAGAGGATCTTGTTCTCAAGGATGTCATTACTTCTGGACCATGTCGGAGCTCTTCAAGCCACGGGAATTATAAATTCCTTCTGGAAGAACGCTTTTCATCTTCCAAGTCTTGCACTGTGAATACAAGCCCTAGAATCCTAGGAAGAAGATTACTTACAGAAAATTCGCTTGTAAATGCACATTCTGAAGCTGTGGAAACCAATCACAGTAAGCAAGGGATTGCTTTCATTGTTCAAGGGTTAGATATTTTTCCTTTATGCTTAACTATGGTAGTCAACTATGAAGATTCAATAATGCGTATGTGAACTGAAGTAGGACAATCTGTTCCAGCTTTCAATATAAAATTCTAATAAATGAGCAACCTCATGCAAGCATAAAAGAATGATGAAACTTGACCAGGTTGCATGATATGAGATCCAGTGGCATAGAAGAAAAGCTTTGAATAAAAGCATTTTGTGCTTAAGGTAAGCTAGATGGTAGATTCCTTTCAGAACTTTTTCTTGACTCTCCTGTTTGAGTATGTTACCTCCATTATTTCATTACCAGTTTAGATGCATTTTGGGTGTGCTAATTCTGTAACTCATACAGAGTTCACCTATATTTGTTGCAGCATATCTAGTAACATAGTTGCAATGCATTGTACCTTTTTAAAGGACTGCTATCTCCCGAAAGGATTCATCTTCTTTTCATTATTATGCCTTAGTCAAAGAATACCTAGTATTATAGCTGCAATGCTTTAAATTGCTTTATAAATTGATCATTGTCTCCAAGAATGTGTCTAAATTGGATTCGTTTCATTTTTCTTTTCCCATCTTTATTCCTTTTTTGGCCATTTTTTTGCTTCTTCTGGCTATACCCCCCTATCTGGTTTTCAACTTGCTTGGAGATTAGCAGTAGCTTCATGGAGGCATACCTTCTATTATGTCAGAAACGCTTAACTTGAAGTCTGTAGGTAAAAAGAAGTTGATTTTAACTTCGTGGATGTTAGCTGTTAGTGTATGTTTCTATTATCTTATCCAGTCTTGATTTGCTCCTTGCATAAATGAATTCATCCTTCTGTAATCATCAGAATTAAATCTAGAGTGCAGAAAACTCTCCATGGTTCTTCTAATGATATTGGATGGTTGCAACAAACTTCAGGAATGGCCCCAGTTGTTGATGGTACGGAGAGATTCCTGGAACTACTGGGAGCTATAAGGTACAGGACCAGGTTGATTTTGATTTACAACTTGTTGAACACATTTGCGCTTTGTTGATTCATAAACTATCTAGATACCCTCTTTCTGGAGTTTCTTTGATTCTCAAACAATTCATTACATGCTTATGATCCATTTTTCATTTAAATTGAGGTGGATTTATTGTTATAAAGTCAAACTCCAAACAGAGATAGAAAAACTCTTCTGCTTTAGTTCCAGAGGCAGTGAAAAGTGCTTTTATCGAGGTGATTGATTGGGTTCACATATATAATGACCTCTTTTAAATAAATGAAGTTGATTCCCTGCCAGCCAAATCAAAACCTTCAACCTGTTGAACGTGTAGCATCATTGGAATGCATTCTTTTCCTTAAAATTTCATAACTTCCCTATAAATTAGTTTTTTTACATTTAATTTGTCATCTATGTCATATAATGCAATGCCAGGACTGCTTTTCTAAAGTTACTTGACTCCTTTTTCCAATTTTGGTACAATGTTTTAAGATCTATTCTTAGAACTCGATTTCTTTTTGGTCAGCCATTCTTAGAACTTGAAACAATAGTGTAAATCATTCTGCCTTTGGATTTCTTAATCTACCAGTTATTATACTTATGCATGAGGGTTTTACGAAATAAAAATGCCAATTATGAATGTTGCCTTTGTCATGCCTCATTCAGAGAAATCTAGGCTGCTTATTTGTCTTTCAAATGTTCTCTACATTATGAACACTTGAATTGTTTTCTGCCTCATGTATTTAGATTTCTGATTTCACTGTTTTACATTCAGAAATGGCGAGCACACAGTATCCAACTCATTTGTATATCTACTGATTCCAGGTATGAGAACATTGGTTTATTCTGTTTCTCACGATTTTCTTTCTTCTCTGATTTAATAGTTTGAATTTCATTTGGCCTACACCTCTTTATTGTGGATTTCTAATTCCTATCAGGTCTCTTTAGCAATCATGGTCCTTTGTATTTTGTGGCTACTAAGAGATTTTTTTCAAAGATGGGTTTGGCTTGCCATATAGCAAAAGTCCACAGTGAGGTAATTAACCCACCCTCTGCAAATTGCTCTAGATTAGTATCAAACTAAAACTAAAGAAAGCTTGCATTTACCTGACAACATGCAGTTAAGAAGTTTGCTTATACCGTCTTTTGTATACTTAACACTTTTATGTCACTTCTCAATCATGATTCATATTTCCTTCATTCCTTTGTTCATTCCATTATTTCCTTTATGCCTTAAAATATGATGGTTTTATTATAGCTTTTCTACTTCTTATACAAAGGCATCGGTGGAGGACAATGCATGGGAACTGAAGCAGCACATTGAGGAGCTTTATTGGGAGTCTGGCAAGCGTGCGATGCTGCTTGCTGTGGGATTGATGCTGCTGCTGCATTATCAATTTACAAGTCTGACCTGGAAAACAAAATGGCAGGACTGGCACTGGTCCAGAGGTGGTATGGTGGCACCCCCATAGTGTCAGATATTCTCCGTGAAGGTCAAATTGCTGAAAAAAGAAACAAGATAATGGAATTTGTGGTATGCAAGCTCATTAAGGTACTCCTTACTCATTAGTGTTTTGTTAGTATATTATTTGTTTTCAGTTCGACCAAAACATGGAGTTTTTCATTTCATGTCCTATAGTTCAAAAGCGCCTTCTTTTTTTTTTTTCTTTTTTTTCTTTTTTGGGGTTTTGAGCATTAAATAGTTGAATCTATGTTGCAGGGTGACATACGAGCACTAGAAGATGCCACCTACAAAAAGCGGAAAGAGTTCATCATGAATCACAAGCTCCCAGAGGGCATCCCTCTTATCTCCTTCCACTCAGAAGCAAGCACTGCCCCTGGTGTTCTTGCTACAGTGAACCGGATAGCTCATGCTGAAGTTCCTTGGTTTCCACTTCTCAAGTTTGGCAGCGAGGATCCTGATAACGTTGTTAGAGCAAGATGTCAAGTACCCGTAGTAATTCCTGCCTCCGCTGCCATGGCAATATGTTCACTTCACCTGCAACTCAGATATGGGGAGAAGAGTGATGGATTGGTGACATGCCGTGATGCTGAAGTTCCCGGGTCTGTTGTAGTCAGACCAGACCGGAAGCTTGATCGTGCTTGGATGGTTTACTCAACATTAAAGAAGAATCCCAGTGAGCCTAATGCTTGTGAAATGTGTGAGGCTCTTATGATTCTGCTAGTGGAACTTGGGAAGAGTAAGCATGGAGAAAGCACTCCAAATTATATGACATGGTTGTTTCTTACCTCCTTTTCTTCTCCAATGAACTTATTGCCTAAGTTCTGTACTTTTTTGCTACTATAAAAAATTCTTAAAAAAGGAAAAAATATATATATACACACACACATTAATATATATATATATATATATATGTATGTTGTATTTTGCAACTCTTCGACTTGGACTATGAATCATAAGGTCACTTACACCAAGTGTGGTTAGGGTTCAAGACTTAGGTCTAGTAGTTAGGGAAATTCATCTATACAGATATGATCTCAATTTTTCAAGTATGAGGCCCATAACTAATTCAGATTATATGCGATCTCGAGTTAATCCCAATCATCTATGATTTTTGGTCTTAGTCAATTTAGCTATGTTTTTATATCCTTTAAAAGGAAATCAAGGCTATCTTTGGTTTGGTCATTTCAAGCAACATATAGCTAATAGTGGATATATGATGGTTGATATATATTTTTGGGCCAAGATGGTTGCTATTTATTGTTATTTATAACTTAAATACTATCAAATGTTAAATATTACTTATTAGCTATAGATGGGTTCAAAACAACTAAACCAAACAAATCTTAAGTAAAATGCAAGACTTAATCAACTAAAAGTTGCTTGGTCAAATAAGACCTGATAGGCCCTTGTATTGAGTTGGCCCAATCTGATTGTGCATATGCCCTAGATATGCTAACTTGAAATGTTGAAATAACAAGAACCGAAGCATGCCATTAGTTTAACAAATTTTTGGGTCAAAATTCACAAACTCTCGTAAGTTTAAGTTCAAGTTATTAGTAACAATTGGTCTCTACACTTATATAATACTTATATTTACACTTTCATCTCAATATAGGATTTTAAGCGTTACAATGGCTAGCCTAATTCTCCATAATCTATGATTGTTTCATTTAGACCGGTCCCTAGCTGAATAGACCTAATCTCCATCTACTCCATTCTACCAAAAAAATGTACTCTTATGCCATTTCTGGTTCATCATCTACACCTACCTACCTTCATTAATGTGATGATCGACTTTAAAGGCCCTTCACTCAATGAGGCAGAGATCAAAGGACAGTTTCTGAATGAAATCAAGATAGGAACAAATGAAAGCCTCTACTCGCAGTGCGGAGTAAATTACTATGGATTGATGTCCATGGGTCTATTGATGAATTCCCTCCATCCATGAGGACCCCCCCAGGCTTGCATAATTGCCTGTGGGCTGATAAATAGTAATTACCCCAAATTACAGTTTTAAATACCTGTTGTCAAATTAGTGGACTTTGAAGTGGATGTGTTGGTCCATAATCGTGTCTGTTCTTAAAGCCCAGAGAAGGAGTCGTTGTTAACAAATTTCCTACATTAAATTTGGTAGGCCCAATGGAACCCCAGACCATTAACTCTTCGTCTCTTCATGTATCCAACCACCTTGATATTGCCAATTCAATAAAATAATTATTAAAATAAAAATTTTTAGAAGTTTCTAAATTTTACATATTAAAAAATCTATAAAAAAAAGTTTCTTTTTTATTTTCTGAAATTACAAATATGCAAGTCCAGCTTAAGCTTAACCATTTCGTAAATTAACTTTGTTTTTTACTATCTATTTTCTCAGCTGAACTTGTGCAAGCGCACAAATCATATTGTGCTGAATGAAAATAGGTCTCACCAATCCAAAAAAGCTAACCTAAAACTTAATTTAGAAATTAGGTAAAATGGACATCACCATGTAGAGAAGAAAACATTGGCACCTCTAGTTTCTCTAGTTCCAACAAACAATTGTCAATTTTATTGATTTTCTATGAATTGCAATGGCAAGTTAGCATCAAATGTAAAACCATTTGAGAATTAGTTGAGTCAATGGCCTCAAGCTTTCCCTTACTGATATGAGATTTTTCACTTAACGTTGTGGTGAAGTGACATATCCACTTTACCAATAAATAACAATATAAGTTATTTAATGATAATTGTCTTTTAATAAAAAAAAATTCTTGAGTTTGAATAATAGATAATTAATTAGGGTGATAGAAAGGGATGGGAAAGAACTACTTCTTGATAAAAAATGAAATACTAATGATATCATTTGCAATTTTACATTAGTATATTAAGTACTTGATCTTTCTTCTTCGAACAAAGCTACAATGACTTAAGTGACCTTATACCAATAGATATTTCCAGTAGGGTGGCGAATTGGTTACTAGAGGTAGTCCTTAAGTCATCTTTGGTTGGCAGTAGTAATTAGTTATTCATAAAATTATGAAAACAAGAAATAAGTTAAGAATAACTAAGTCTCATTCTAGATATGCAATTTTTTAAGGATATATAAGGTACTCCTTGATTCTATTTTTGATGTTAAAAATAAATAAATAGATAGATATTAAGATTTAATTATCTTTAACTAGTTTCCTAAAAAATTTCTCAATCTTATCTTATTTTCATGATTTAATTAAGCAATAATTACTATCATCAACCAAACTATCCTTAAGGCTTGGTGTCCATTACCAGTCATGTAGGCCACCCCATCACTTATGAGTTGTTGATGGAGGACTCTTCTTCGTCCATCTGATGCTGAAGGGTCTGAAGGGTATATGATACTATATAAATGAAAGTTTTATCCTTAAGAAAAAAAATTAGTGGAAAGAGGATAAGATTGAGGATGTGTTTGGTTTAAACTAATTTTATCAGTGTATAGCTTCTTCTTTTCTTTTTTTTTTTTTTTTCTATGTAAGGGGTTTTTTAATTTGTATTTCTAAAATGTAGGTTAAGAGTGTAATAAATTTATATTAGAAGAACAAATATTGACTTTTAATATATCAATTACTTAATTAAATTTTTTTATATAATAATGATATTAAAATAAATGTTAATTTTTAAATTTTTTTAATAAAATTTAATATCAAAAATATTTTCTTAATATGTATTTAAAAAAACCCTTAAACAAATGGTTAGAGTATTTAAAATTATTATCCTATAAATTAATTTTAAATTATTAAATAATAAGTTATAATAATTTTACCAATGATTAACTAACAATTACAAGTGCTGTTAAAAAAAAAACTAACAATTACAAGTATTAACTATTTCAAATGCTGAGACTAAACCGAACCCAGAGCCTTTCCAAGGTTAAAAGGTCTTATAATATCTTGTGAACAATCTTGCCTTTGCCTTACCTATTGCTTCGTTATAGGCTATTAATTATGAAAAATGAGCATTACCTTAAACAAAAGAGTAAAGACAATGCATTATTATGTAAGACTATAAAAATTGACCCTCAAATGAAAGAAAAGACAGATTAAGTGATGAATCGTGCAACTTTGACCTTTCTTGATTAGTCACTTCAAATCATCATTTATCATTGTTTAGTTGAACGTTCGTTTGAAGGGAGCGAAAGGAATGGGAGGAAAAGGGAGGAAAGAAGAGAATAATAAAAATATAAATAAAAATGTAAAAAAATAAAAATAAAAATAAGGAAAAGCCCTCTCTTTCTTTTTTATTTTTTATTATCAATATAAAAAAATTTTCGCCCACCTTTTTTTTTTTTTTTTTTAACAAGACTAATGATTAGGGAGTTAGTATGAATCAGTTGTTAGCAATTGGGGATTCGATTCTCAGATCGGATGAACATTCCACCCCCTCAAATGAGGCGCATGACCATCAGATCGCTTTTAGTGAAGTTCACAATGGTGGTAGAGCTCGAAACTCTAACCACCTCACTCAAATACTTAAGATTTGAAGTCGAATCATTGGGTTAAAGGCCCGGTTCTTTCTTCTCTTTTTCTTGTCTCTTCAAACTAAATAAATTATTAAAATAAAATTAAACAATAATTATCTGAGTGATGTACTAAAAAATGAACCTAATAATTATTTGAGCTTAAATGAGAAATGAAAGGTCATTTTGTGCCATAGTTTTTTTTTTTTTTTCTTGTACAATGAATCGGGAGATTTCATTAAATTAAAAAAAGGGGGTGACTATAAGGCTATATAATAAATCAAAGAATTTGTATTCATGATATATTTGGATGATCCAAGCGCAAAGAGCTAACTAAATATATATATATATATATATATTTTATGTTGGTTGCAACTCTTTCTTATTTCTTATTTCTTATTTCATTTCATTCGTATGTTATCTGATTTAAATTCATAACCTTTTATTTTCAACTGAAAAAGATTATTACTGAGTTATTTAAGTTGTTGACAAATTAACTAAATATTAGGTGTTACAGAAATTGGCTCCTAAAGAGGCACTAAAAGTGCTACTAAATGTAAAAAGAACAATCATTCATGAGCATAATTGGCCAATATGGTAATATTATAGATATGCCATGCCAACTTCAAGGGATATTTTCCGACAAACTGTCCTTTGTTTTTCCTCCTTTTTTTTTTTTTTGTAAAGCTAACTGATGTCCTTAAAACAATCACGCCTTTTATGGAGAACTCATGTCAAAATAATTAAAGAGAATAAACCTAAATAGACAAAGAAAGAGCTACCACCTCCATCGCCTCATCCTCATCCTAAACCCCCAACAATGCCTACGATCTTTACCATATATACCACACTACTAAAAAATAGTGTATTCGACAAAAAATACCATCAATTATAAGGAAAACTCTATTGATTATAAGTATAGTCGACAGATATAATTGACAACCAAATATGTCGAATAAATAAGAGTCGAAAATAGTATAATCAATAGTTTTTGTTGTCAATTATACTTGTTCTAACAATATAAAAAAAAAAACAGAATTAAAAAATGTAAAATTAAATTTTTAATTTTGTAGTTGTTAATCAAATGATAAAGTCATTAAACAAATTCAATTATAAAATCAATCAAGTGCAACAACAATATATATAAAATAATTTTGAGAATAATTGAAAAATAAGAATAATATTTAAATATTATGAGATTTAATGAAAAAATAAGATAAATAATAAGTAATTTACCTATAATAAAGTAAAAATATCTGTAAAAGGAAAAGGGAAAAGCATTATTGTACATTATAAGATTTTATTTTAGTAAAAGGAAATTAAAAATAAAAATCAAAATATGAATTTACCTCATAAAATGATTTTAAGCTTAATGTTATAAATATTATATATAAAATATAATAAGCATAATCAAAAGCATATAAATAATTCCAACCAAGTTGGCTTGTAGGACATATTATAACCAAAAGCATATACTACGAAACTACCACTTGGTTTGTGAGGCATACCCTAATAGTATATATTGCGAAAATACTACCTTCTGATAAACTTTGTGCAAAAAGGTAAGATTAACAAAGTTGCGACAAAGAACAATGTCACAAACCCACTAACCAAAGTCATACCTCAACAAAACATGTCATACATGTGAGAGCTAATGGTTTTAGATTTGTTAGCAATTGGCTCTAGTGCAAGTGGTAGATTGTTAGAGTATGCCCATAGAGCCAACTAATTTGGCCAAACATTGATGTACTTGTGATTACACTTTCATATATACCACGCCATTCTTTATCAAATGTTAACAATTATTCTTCTACATACATTAAATATTGATAAAATCCTGAAGATGGTTTATAGCATCAAAAGATAATAGCAATCATTACTATTAGTCAGAACCGTATGATGCAATAGCATCGTTTTTAAATCATCCATTAGTCATATATATCATTGAGTTGAGATATCAATTGATGTAAACAACAACACATGGTCAGGCTTTACTAGGTGGCAAGACTTTTGCTAACAAGGTCATGTCTTATATAGACCTGACTAACTCATCATGAGAACTTTACATGTATGTGTCATTAACTGCTTCTCACTATATACTAGTGTAAGTAATTCTTTGACTTAAGATTGTCATTATTATATGTGATGACTTGTGTACTTTGACACTATCAAAAACTACCATAATAGATGGGTTGTAAGTAATATAGTTATTAGGTGTATCATATATTGCATGAGGATGGTGAGCAAGTCAAGACAAGATTCCTCTTTCTTGAGTTAATGAGAGAAGCTAATTAAGATTTGTCTTTCTTGAGTTATGAGAGAAGATATGTCTAGGCAATTTTGATTGAGATGAAGTTACTTGAAAGTCTATGATGATAGTATGAATGAAAAAGTTTATTTAAGAAATATGTATATATTCAGAATCAAAGAAAATGATATTGAGTTTTAATGATGATGACACATAATATGCCTCGTGCTTAATTGAGATACCAATAATGAAGAGAGTGAATTACACAAGTATATATGTAATAAGAAAGTTTTTTGAAATCATCAAATTTCTATCACTTTGGGTGATTGATGTGTTGCTAGGTATTGCCCTTGGTTTATAAGCCATACTGCTATTAGTGTAATAGAAATTTAGAGAGTGATACACTTAGT